GAGTTGACTTACCGCAAAGAACTCTAAAGGAATGGGTGCTGGCAATTTCTCTTTAAATCTTTCATTAAACTCCTTGCCACCCAACAGCAAACCAAAAACCATCAGACCGACGCCTAGAGAACACACGTTGAGGTTTTTAACATTCTGCAACACAGCAACTGTACTCTGTAACACAGTGAACACTGGATGTTTACATCAAGAAATCGCCCCTGAGGAGACACTCTAGTGCACTAATTCAGACCAGCCATCCCATTATTGGACATTTCTAGTTAAAAGTTGTCAGGCCGAAATCTCTCTCTTTGTCGTTTTCACCAATTAGGAGGCATTTGACTCCATCATACATATAACTTTGTAGTTGTCATAGTTGTTTATAGTTGTCATTTTTGTCAATCTTATAGCATCAGTGACATGCTGATGTTTCAATGTAATATTATAAAATTTAGAAGAAGAACCCTGAAGCTGAGTCCTGAGCATTAGGAAAGAATTATGGGTTGATATCAACAAACTACCCCACAGGTAAATACATAGAAAAGCTTCTAGGAGCTCAAAGAAGGAGAAATTATTTTTAGCAGATGAAAGAGAAATCAGGTGGACTTTGAAGCCAAGAGAGTGCCGAAGTTTGGAGAGTTAGAGAAGAACACCACTTAATTATATTGTGTCACAGGGTTATGGTTTGGGTACCTTAAATATAGTCAATTCCCATTCAAAACAAAATAAAGTAGACTTCCTACCCACCCTTTCCTATCAATACCTACAGCATACTCAGGTGTACTCATATATTGTATTTTCTTTGTGACAAGGCATTTCAAGAAGTCTCACAGCAAGAACTATGTTATTAGCTATTATGGGAAACTAAGAATTTAGTTGGTTAGGGAATATCCTACAGTTTGATTCCATTCTAGTCAATCAAGGACAAAAAAGTTACTTCCTCAAAGTGACTTTCCTAGACCCTTAATCTAAAGGTTTCCTGATTCAACTTTCAGAGCAGCCTGTACCTTTTCTTTATAGCACTTAACACAAATTGTAATTAATTACATGTTTATGCAATTAATGGTTTACTAACTGTCCTCCCACTGGACTATAAGCTCCAAAGGGCAAGGGCTGTGTCTGTTCTGCTCACTGCTGTATGTCTGTGTCTAGCACAGTGTCTGGCACATTAGTACCTACAAAGGCTACAGGCCTTACTTTCCAAGGATGGCTTTAGCAGCATCTCAAAAGTTTTGATATGTATTAATAGTACTTCCACTGTCAATTAATTCTAATCATTTCCTAATTCCTCCTTATCCATGGGTCATTTAGAAATGTGCTTTTTGAAACAATATGTTCTCAAAGTTTGCTTACAAAGGTGATTCTATGTCAAACACTTCTATTCATTAAAATAAAACAGTTTATGATGCATCTTAACAAAAAAGAAATGTGTTTTTTGGTTTCTAACTGTATGGAGGTTTTAAAGATATATTTAGTTTATTAATTTCTAATTATATTGCATTGTGTGAAAAATACTGAATTTTTAGAATCTGTGATCAAATTCACGTAAGTTTTAACATCATCAGTTATTATCATTCCTCCCCAAGTGCTTGCAAATAATTTATATTTTCTCTGAGTTGTATACAGAGTCTATATATATTTTTTTGTTAGGTTAAACTGGTTAATTACGTTTGTTCAATTTTTAATAGCTTTATTTTTTTGTTTGCTTGAGTTAGCAGTTTTTAGGAGAGTTATATTCTACTATGCCTTTAAATGATTTGTTAGTTTCCAAAAAGAACATGATTTGGTCATAAGAAAAAGCTCTCTTCATCTAGAGTGTTGGTGCAGATACCAACTAAAGACCTAGCAAAAACTTTCTTGTGAAGTAGGCGAGATCACATATTAATAAAGTGATATTTTAAGGTTTAATCTTCTTTGTAGCACTTTTTTCAGAAAGCCTTAGAATAAATGAATCTTTCCCTTTTATGGAAATTCTTGGAAAAACAAAAATATGAGCCTTGAAGGTAAAAGAGATACAGAAAAGAAGCTGGCAAGGAATGGGGGGAATAAAAACAAGTACCAGGAAGCTGCTCACTTACATACACCACTGAAAAGATCCCACTGTACCGCTTTGTTTTAACTCCGAACAGGTATTTTAACATGGAGGTGAAGACATGCACAGCTGCTGCAGTGGTGAACCCACGGACCAGAGGCTCTGTGAGATATATGGCCACAAATCCGAACCTACAGACACCTAGGCAAAACTATTTTTTTAATGACAAAGAAACAAATAAATCAAATGATAGGTCAGGAAGTTATGACCAACAAAAGACATGTTTAAAAATTCTTTCTGGTTCACTTTCTAACACTACAAACTTTTAACTGCAGTAGGTAAGTAACTAACAAATCAATCAAGCAGCTTGGAGCCCCACTGAGCATTGGCCACACTCATGCTTGTCCTGTCCCTGGAGCTGGGGGCATGACTACCCTGCATGATCACGAGCTGTTCCTTCCAAACAGACAGGGATGTCCTCTTCCCAGGACTAACCAATCCTGCTGTTTCTAGTTTGCCTTGCTCTCAGGTTCTTTAAAGTAGCCAATCAGGCTGGGCCTGGTGGTTGTAATCCTAGCACTCCGGGAGGCCAAGGTGGGAGAATTGCATGAGCTCAGGAATTAGAGACCAGCCTGAGCAAGAGGGAGACTCCATCTCTATTGAGGCTGTAGTAAGCTATGACGATGCCACTGCACTCTACCCAGGGTGACAGAGTGAGACTCTGTCTCAAAAAACAAAAAAAAAAAAAAAAAAA